TTTATACAGCCGGATCGAATTTTGAAAAGACACTTTTGCGAATGTACATTTTCGTGTTCGCCTTTTTTGACACTTGAAGAACGTGCTCAGACCAGCTGAGATTTTCAGTAATTATAACACCTAGATCATTGTAAGATTTAACTTTATTTAACGTATGACCGTTTAGAAAATAATTATGACGAGGATTGTTTTTACCAATATGAAGAACTACACTTTTATTTGTATTTAGAGGTATCATACAATATGAGCACCAGTTATAGATGGAGTCAAGGTTATCTTGAAGCTGTTGGAAGTTCAAAGACGGGTCACTAAATATTTTAGTGTCATCGGCGTAAAAAATATTGTTGCACTTGATACGGAATTGAAGGTCACTGGCATATATTATAAATAAGAGTAGACCCAGGACTGATCACTGAGGAACCCCACTCAAGACTGGTCTTTAAAGTGAATGCGAATTTCCAACTTTAACACAGTACTTTCTATCAGTTAAGAATGACTCGATCCACGTATACCAAGGTGTTCTAACTTATGTAGTAATCTTTGTTTCGGCACACGATCAAAAGCTTTCGCAAAATTCACGTAAATAATGTCTATAGGTTTTTTCCTGTCTAATGAAGCTGTCCACTCATTTACACACCAAAGCAAATTGGTCATGGTTGATCGCCCTTTTACAAATCCATGTTGTTGTTTGGGAATGATTTCTTCCACTAAGAGAAACTAAGAGTCTAGTTTGTTTCCTTTCTTGAAAATGGGTGTTACAGAAGCTGTTTTCCAGATAGAGGGTAATGTGTGTGCATTAAAAGACAAAGACATAGATAAAGGAACTGATATGGTATTAGAGCATTTTTTTAAAAATAGAGAAGATATTTGATCAAGCTGTAGTGGCCAACCTACTAATTATCGTATTTTTGTTATCAAAAGTATCGACAATACCAGCTTTAAGAACTAAGTTTAAAACACACTATTCAGTTTTCAATGCATAAAACTCGAGATAAAACCTTAGTTTTATTCAGTTAAACTGCAAACAATTATCGTACACTCCATCAAACTATTACCAAATTTTTTAAATTAATTAATTTATTCTGTATTCTAAATACACTAATTTACTTTACAAGTATTTTACTCGCACGCCGGTGTTGTGGGTGAAAGTTTTAAAATATCACTTCTTTTGTCTAAAATATTATTTGCTTAAACCTTCAATTGTTTTGTAGCATTTTTGTAATGTTTACTATAGGATGGGATGACATATCTATAAATATATTTATTACACATAATTTTTTTAAATTAAAATAAAACCACTCACCAGAATAAAATGACGAAACTATGTACTTATAACACGCACTAGAAAGTCTAAAGAACTGTCTTGTTCAATTATAATAAATTATACTTAATTATTTATTTAAAGAAACACTAGTAGTTAAATCCTTAAACATGAAAAACTAACAAAAAATAAACTGTTGAAACGTGGTTTCTTGCATTGAAACACTTAAAAAAGGAGCGAGTCTAGTTGAGAGTTTAGGTTAGGTTAATTAAATTGTTTTTCCTTTGCATTTTTTGGCCTACGCTCAACAGAAATTTGGTAAAAACACAGGTTTTCAATAAAATAGGTATGCAACCAGGATTACGTACACTTAGGTACGTACTTAGTACGCATTATTCTGTACGTACTGATACGTACTATTGTGTACTTACTTAAAACATACATTTTACGTCCTGTACGTACAGTACCAAAGCTGTACGTACTTTAGACGTACTGTGCTGTTTGGGTAGTATACTCGTATAAGTCAATAAAATACCAACAGGGCAACAGCCAGTCATTGACTAGAATTAGAGGATATGGTGGTGGGATATTAGCCGAACCGAATGTTAGTCACAAAGCCAGATATCATAGCGATAGCAGGGATATCGTAGTTGCCACATGTTGACTGAAAGCACGGCTATGCTTAATACAAACTAATAAGTACTGTATAAAAACAGTTCTTTCAGTCTGTCACAAATGATATTTGTCTTTTCTCAATCAATGTCGTCACTGTTTTTTACTAATTTAATATGGTTTTATGACGCATGCTCAATAACTGAGTGGAAGAATTGTTTACGTATACTTCAATGTACATGAATAAAGGTTTCTTTGTACCTTTTTTACCTGCTACCTATAAAAGAACCCCGCTTTCAAGATATCAAGTACACATACATTCTTACTACATCGTGCACTATTTATTTCAATATTTTAGCTTTTCTAATGCTACGTTTAAATATTCACATCCGATGCATTTTTTATCTCTCCAGCGTTTGTTTATCCACATCGGACGTAACTTGATTCACGTAATCGTAGATTCGCATCATCTCGGATATGGACACACAAACACAGCAATTAATGACGTAGATCTAGGAACTGTATATCCAATAATTGTTCGTGCTCAAAGCGTAATTCAGAGTTTAGACTTAAATAACCATAGTCGCCTAATACTATTAAACTGAGGTCGACCCAAAATACTGCATTATTTTGTTAACTTTCAATTATCAGTTTTGCAGAGATAATCAGCAAAATCATCCGTTAATACTGGCCATTCGATGAATTTCACATGCAAGAGCTAGAATGTGAGCTGTTATTCTGTAATTGTATAGTTGCTTTTGTGTAATTAGTGATAATTTGTAGTCACCAATCGATTCCTGGATTTGTGGACAATCGTGCATTAATTACTACATGGATTTGAAAGCAATTCGCTTCGAGAACCTACTATAATATACACTTATAATTATTTCAGACAGAATTGATTGATGATTATTTCGTTCGTTTGTTAAGCGAATTTCAATATTGAATATTTTTTTATATAAAGTCAGCAATATTACAGTTTATGACATTGAAGTCGTTGAATTATCTTGAATAGTGGTAAAACACCGATAATTTACAATACAGTTTGTTCGCTATACTTACGCAGGTTTCGGATTAACAAAATTATGCAAATTAGTAATTGACAACCAGTTCCAATAAGCCTCTTCCCAAGAAATTAGGTAAAATTGCCCTAATGGTCAGATTTAAATTAAAATAACATTGGGATAGATACTAAATTTGTTACAAATATTGCAGTTCAATTGATTCTTTGCAAGTGCTGACATTATATGTATATTGTAAATTTAGTGGAAATTTTAAAAATGCCTAGACGTTTGTTAGATGTAGATAGTCTAATTTGTAGTGTACATAAGTATTTTACGGCGGTCCTTTAAAATCGGTAATGTCTGTACAACAACGCGTATGCGATGCTCTAGGTGAACTGCCGAAAGAAGATCACCGTAAAACTCTCCCATCATTGAAAACGAAAGATATTCCAGATGGAAAGAAATTTGAAATTCGTGATACCATTTATCGAATGAGGGCCAACAAGGAACATGTGACCTTAAATACAATTCTCTCGGAATTAATGGATAGAAAATTTATTAGAAGCCAGAGAAAGCTCTTCTAGTTCTTGAATTGCATAAACGTTCCAGTCCGCAGACGTATATTTTACTCCGCTTCATACTAATACCTTCCACGGCGTTCAACGCCGCACCGCTGTGCTGGTCGGAGTGGGGGTATTAGGTTTATTTTCGTTACGGAATTTCTTGATTCGGTCGCCGCGCTCAAAACCCGCGATAAAAACTATGCAATAGTTTAAAAACATTTAAAAGGTAACAAACTAAAAAAAAATTCATAGAACTCACGTAATAATCTATAAACGAAATGTTAAACCTGTAATCACTTATGAAGCAATTCTAAATAACCAAGACAAAATATACAAAACAAATCAACCGTTCAATCTCCACACAGCAAAAGAACGGCTGATTATTATACAAGTGGCCTTGATAATACTTTCTCGTACCAGTGGTATGCCTGAATATTTTTCCCAGGAGGGTATGATTATTCAATGTCGTTAATGTTCCGGAAATAAAACTGAAACGTTATTTATACCGTTACAATTTCCATTTCTATTCTAATTCTTAAGATTCCACAGTTTAGAACATGTTTATTTAAAAAAAAAAGTAAATTTTTTGTTATATTTTTTTTATGAGTTTAAATTTTATTTTATATTTAAGATAGAATGAATCGATCTTCGATCTTTACGAAATCAATGTTTTTTCCTTCCATTTTTTTTTTCGTACCGATCTCTGGCTCCACCATTTGAATCGGTACTATAATAAGAATCGATACCGAGATCGGAAACCCCAGTAAGCATTAAACAATCTCAACTTCAGTCTCTAATGAAGTTTACCCAATGCGTTACCTTCACTCGTATATATTAAAGCTGGTTGAAAAAGTGTAGGTAGTCAACAAGTAATAAATGGTTACGCTATCTGCACGTAGGAAGCAAAATCAAAACTCGCTGTGGTACCTAGCTCTCTGGAACAAGGCGGAATAATAACCAGAATGAAAACAACTACTCCTTGTTCTAGAGATCTAGGTGAGTGCTTTGATTTTACTTCCTAAGTGTAGATGGCGTTACCATTTTTTACTTGTATATTATTCACACTTTCTCAACAAGCTATGAAATGGGAAGTTAACACGTCAAGCAAATTTGATTAGAGACTGAAGTCGAGATTGTAAATGCTTACTGATGAGTCCTAATAGGGAAAAAACAGTTCCAACTATTACGTTCTCCTTAAGAAGCAAAATCAAAGCTACAGTGTTGAAAATTATTTTCTCTCTGCTTTTTTTTTAGTTTCCGAGTAGTTGCTGTGATACGGACTTTGAAATTTTCCTTTGTTTTTCAGTGCTACATTTATTTGGTAAATATATTGCCGTCATAGAACCTTTTTTCCACCTGTAATATACAGGGTAATATTGGTCCACCCTGTATAGCAAATATTTTCTATTAGGTACACACGATAGCAATACTGTCCTCGGTAAAACATTTTTATCAACAAGTAAGTAACTCATTAGGTATACATTTGTATTTTTTTACAATAAAATTTTAAAATATAATCACATTTTCTTATCAATTTATACAGACTGTTTTACTGTGTCTATCGCATTATATTTCAGCGTTAGTCGATAAATGCCACGGTTTGATCCAAGCACTCCAAACTAGGTATATCAAATTATATTTAAATTTTCAAAGCAAATATAAACATTTATTAATCGTAACGAACAGTAACTGATTAGTTTAGAACTGGCGGTACTGAATTGTTGAATTCTAAATTTTCGATTGTTCCTACTTTTAAAGGCGAAATTTTTTAACCTTCATTACAAGTCGTAATCCAATTAAATTGTGCGAATTATAGGACTAGAAATTAATGAAATTTAAACAACCAAGCGTTTGCAACGAAATTAAGAGACGTAGATATTATGAATAGTGAAATGAGAACAATATGTGAATTTATGAACGATTTAAAAAGTGAGAGTGTATACATATGTTGATTAATATCAATAATAATTGATTGATTCTCTTATCTAAGGTATGTGTGATGAATTAGGACACACTCATGTACAAAAGGTCAGTTTATAGCTTTAATTTTACAAATTTGCACGATAAAAGACATAATTCTGTACCTCAGAACCAGACGGACGTAAGTCACATTTAGTACATTTTCTAAGAAACCAATAAAAGTAAAAATAATAATTTCATCGCTAAGCTACAAAGCTAGTGTTTAAATTAGCATCTTAAAATTGATGACAACATTGAAAGGGAACGTACCTTATCCATTTTTGTATAATTTTTGTGTAAATTATTTAATGTGAGATATAATTATTGTTGTTTGATTAGGCAGGAGTGGACTTACGCTATTATGGTTTTTTATCAAGAACCTGTTTTGGGACTTACATAGTGCTAATATTAATAGTAAAAAAATTATTATGATGTTTTAGGAAAACTACACAAGCAATCACAATATTTTTATTAACATCAAAAACAATGACGAACTACAAATTTAGCAAATTACAAGTCTCCATACACATTACATGGTACTTGCAAAGTACTTGGCAAGTACTTGGCAAGTAACGCGTAGTGAGTAGCCGGTTTTAAAGAAGGCTCTATACTCCTCAGAAACCCACTGCATTAAATCATGAGATCTCTGTATTTCTCGTTACTTATCTTCTTTCTGGTATCTCTCAATTTTGGTATCTTTGTTAGCATTACAACCCTTCCTCTCTGATTTCTTTTAAATTCTACAGTTTTAAAGATCTCATTCGCGAAACTTGTCTTATGGTATAACCTGCTGACATCTTTGCGAATCTGTAACCACACTGTATGAGATATCAAAAACGGTTCCTTGTCTGTGTTTGTCTTCCTTGCAACAAATGGTCCTTCCTTGCTTCTCAAGTAAAAGAAATCTAGAAAGTCTTCGAGGCTCATCCTCCTCACAATAAAGGGGTCATTTTTTGAGCACCAAGAAATAAAGTTTGTCCAATAATTTGTTGTAAAAATAGTGTGACTTTTTAGTTTTTTCTTCTCCCTCTCTATTCACACTATGCTTGACATCTACTTCTATGTGTGTGTGTCCAGCAAATAGGAATTTATTTATTTATAAATTTGGCAACCTAACAAGCAAATAAATGTCCAATTATAAGGTTGCACGAAAAATAAATTACATATTTTCATGATCAGTACATCATACTAACTTAATACTAAAATTAACAATAATTTAAAAAAAAAAGTGACAACAGTATATTAATATTTTAGCGCAGGTTTAACTTAATAGTTTTAGCATTTTGATAATGTACATAGTTTTATCATTTTATTTTTGCTTATTTATTTTCATTTTTTGTTATTTTTTTTATTTATTTATTTTTTTTTTCTACTCCAAGGCACGATGCTTGGTGCGGCCATTTCGAGTGTTTTTACAATGCTAAATAGGAGGTACGTCACGAGAGAACCGAAAAAGCAGCGTGCCAATTTGTACAGAGAAACATAATCCAGATCAAGGTGGCCAAAATATTGATTGTATTAGTATTGCAGTCTTGTTACCGGAGAGATGTTACAATAGTTTGTTAACGCTGAGTTATAATAAAAAAGATTAGTTGAACGAGATGTGTGATTTTTCGCGTAAAAGTTTGTTTTCTAGTGTATACACAGAGTCAATTTTGTTGTTCATGAGCTTGTAAAGAAATATAAGATGAGCAATAACTCTCCTTGAAACAAATTTATTTACTTTGTAATGTCGTAAGCTAAAATCATATGATTCAAGAATTATATTTCTATTAAACCGGTAATTTAAATGTTTTATTAGTTTTCTTTGAACTCCTTCTATCCGACTGATTTATAATAACAAGGTGACCATAAAGTTGACCCATATTCAAGAGTGCTTCTAACCATTGAGTTTTATAATATTAAAATAGACTTAGCATTAGAAAAATTTTTTGTATTTCTGAGAATAAATCCTAAGGTTCTTAAAGATTTTTGGACAATATTGTCTACATGAATGTCAAAGTTTAACTTAGAATCGAGGGTAATTCCAAGATCTTTGATACTAGAAACTTCTCTGATAATATTATTCTGGATGATTTTATGATTCACTTCTTCTAGGGTCGGTACAACCACAGAATACCATATTATCATTCCTATTTTGGCCACTCCAATTATTTGTCCACACTGTTAACTTCTCAGTAGATCTATCAGGGTTTCGAAGTTCTTCCATCGCCCAATTGAATAAACATGATGCTAGTTCGTTACCTCCTCGACCGGCTGTAACCTCATCCCACATCTTGCACCAAGTTTTGTCAACGATTGTGTCATAAATTGTACTATTTAATGTCCAAAGCTTTCTTTAGTAAAAACTTTAGGAATGCTTCAAATCAGGCATTGGAAGACATTTTTGGAAATCAGACATAATGACTCTGAAATCTTGATTAGCACGGGCTTCAAGTTTATCCTCTCGTTTTAAGTCATACCTAAGTGAAGCATCTTTTAGGTGGTTTTCTTTTTGTACTTTAAGATCAATGAGTTTTTCTTCATTTTTAATTTCACAGTGCAGTTTATCGCAAACATCACAAGTGTCATTGTCTGATAAGTGGAAAGACAAGTTGAAATGTTCATTGAAAACCTTAGAATAAACCCACTTTTTTTCTGGTTTTATGTTTTCTTGTTGGCACTCATCTACATACACTAAGTACATTGTGGAAATATTCTGGTGATTCCCCAAATATCTGCGCTTGGACCTTTCTCTGCTGTAGTGGCTTTCATAAACTGGGAAGTTAGAAATAAGGTTTCTGATCCGTTCTAATCTTTCACTTGGCAATTTATTTGCTGGGGTATGTTTTCCTCTAAGGCCTGCTGTTATCAAACCAGACTCACTGCCTTTTTTTAAAGCAACTCTCATAAATATTTCAGAAATCGAAAGTGTGTGTTAAAAAAAAAGTTTTGCAAACGACTTCTTCCTTATTATTTAAATTAAAACTAAATGTATGGCTCTCGGTTTTGCTTTTTCTTTTGCTGTCTCTTTTTCGTTTTATGGGTAATGGGTTTATTGGTTAAAACTTCAGAGCCATTAGATATTAAGTGAATTTACGTTCATTTGGCTCAAATAAGGGTTAGGACGTACACTCTTATAACCGTGCCTAATAAAAGAGGATAAATCTTTAAGGAATATTCGTTGTTATGGCCCGATGGAGAATGAAAGTCTACGTAAAAACCATTAATAACCTGAAAATCGCAGTTTTTGGACTTACGTCCGTCTGGTTCTGAGGTACAGAATTTAAGAGTCCAAAATGTACAAATTTAAAAAGTTTCGTTTTTATTTTGTTATGCACCGAAAGAAATGGTTTCATACTTAGCGTTGGATTCGCTTGAAAGTGTGTTTATTCTAAGTTAATATTCATTTTTTAATGTTTATAGTAGTCATTAAAATAAACAACATATTTAACAAAAACTCAAAAATAAGAAACTTACATTCATTTATTCAAAACTTAAATAATGTGTTACTATTCACTTTAATACGATGTACTGTTAGACACAACCACTCTTCTATAATGGCGAGTAATAGGAAAATCAATGTTCCTCTAAAGGTAACATTAGAGAAGGCGAGACCGAGTAAGAATACAAACAGGCAGCAAGCAGCAAATACTACGGTGTTAAAACTACTGCCGTCTCTCTTTAATCGATCGCGCTGCCCCTAATGGTTTTCATATAAATACATGTAGTCAGACGTGAAGAGACCGTTTCCGGTCACCTATGCTATCGCTATAAACCTGTCGCCTTACTCGGTCTCGCGTTCCCAAATGGTTCCATTATTGTTGCTGCAGCCTGCTTTATTCTTGCAAATAATTCTTCCCGCGTGTTTACAGACATCTTGCAAACTTAACATTTTATAAAAGCTAACAAGAAAAATTACACATACTCACTCATTATGTAAAACAAATAAACACCGGGCGGGTTTTGAAATTTAAATTTTGTACCTTTCTTATTTTTGAGTAGGTCTGTTTAAGCGTATTTTAAAAAGTTATTTATTTTAACCCTTTCACTACCCACAACGAGGCTCCCGCGTTTAACTGACTCAAAGCCATGTGCGCACAACAACAAAAAACTATTAAGTACACTAACAATAAGAGAATAATTTGTTAGTAATAAAGAAAATGTATTAAGAGTTAACAAATGATTATGTCGTATATGGCCTATGTTACGTATTTTTAATGTTAACAAACCACTTATTAAAATAATTTGAAAATTCGGAAACAAATCTCAAAAATCCCCCTACGAGTTATTAAGTTATGTGAATCGTATTGAGACTTCTATTTCAACGGATCCTAAACAAATATGGCAGTTTATAAAATCAAAAAAAGGTAAACAATCTGTTATTTCGGCTTTAAAACATAACAATGAAATGATCACAGATGGTCAAATTATTTGCAATACTTTTTCTACCTATTTTAACCATGTATTCAACCCGCCCAACTTAAACCAATTTTATGAACCTCCTAATAACTCACACAACAAATATATACCTAATTATTATTATATACCAATATCCACGATCATTAACAAAATTAAACAACTTTCTAACAAAGCTTTGATAAAATCCCCACATGTCTGTTAAAGAATTGCTCTCAAGAAATAGCGCAGCCTCTATTTATCCTATTCAATAAATCGTTATAAGACGGCCTCTTTCCAGATATTTGGAAAACAGCATTAATTGTTCCTATTCTAAAATCTAGTAACAAATACCTAGCGAAAAATTACCGTCCTATCATCTTTAAATTGTGCATAATTGCAAAATTGTTTGAATTTATCTTATGTGACTACTTAGACTTGCATCTTAAAAATATTATTAATATCGAACAACACGGATTTATGAAAAAGCGTTTCATCGAAAGTAACCTTCTTATTTACATACAATACTTATTAGATGGAATGGACCGTGGAATGCAAATAGATACCATTTATACCGACTCCAGTAAAGCGTTGGATCATAATATACTGCTCCATAAACTCGCTGAGGTTGGTATTCATGGTAATTTGCTCAGATGGTTTTCGTCTTATATAATTAAGAGGACTCAAGCTGTTAAAATTGGCATGTATATCTCTGCATTTTGTATTATTATATCTGGCGTACAGCAGGGATCTCATCTGGGAGCATTGATAATACACCTCTCTATAAAATATCTGTTGTAAAAGATCTTGGTATTTTTCATGACAGTAATCTAATATTTGACTATCATATTAATATCGTCGTTATTAAAGCACAGAAGGCACTTGGTTTCATTATACGAACGAACGTCTAAAGACTTTAAAAAAATCGAAACAGTCCGTACACTTTTTATGTCTTACATTAACAGCGTGTTAAGTTGTGGATCAGTTATTTGGAACCCTCACTATAACATTTACAACTAAACTTGAAAGTGTGCAAGAGAAATTTATTAAATATCCTAATAAAAAATTCTATTCGCATCAGGTCAATAATCGATCTCTTATTAAGCAAAATTTACGATTTATATCACTAGAAGATAGAAGGCAAATGTATAATGTAAAATTTATTTACAAAATCTATAATAATTTGCTTCGACTCTACTCCAATCGTAAACATGAAATAATTTAATGTTCCAACCCACAATAATAGTAGAAAACAAATACTATTTTATTTAAGTTCAAGCACAACTAATTATCATATAAATTCTCCTACAGCTAGTTGCTGCTGTAAATCATATAACTCATTATCAAACCTTTTAAATCTCGCTATTTTTTCTTGTTCCTTGTCATCGTTCACTAAGATTTTAAACAAATTCTTTTTAGACCATACAATTTAAATACGTTTGTTCTATTATTATTGATTTTGAAATTGAATTATTAAAATGTTTGTATGTAATGTTAAGCTAATAGTGAATACTGTTCCTGGGTTCGTCCCGTTTTGTATTCTTTATTAAAATAAATAAATAAAATAAATAAATCTCCGAATCCCAACAAATACTTGAAGATTAAAAAAACCTGTCGCCGGTGGGATTCGAGCCTACACATATTTGTTCTGTACACAAATGTCCTTACTGCTAGACCATGATGAGCCTGATTGTTGAGATTCCTAGAAAGCACTTTAATGTACCAATTCGGGCCAAGCGCCGTTTCAGATTTGTTCTTGAATCTTCAAATACCCTATACAGCATCGGTATATCTGAGAAATGCATTGATGCATGCTAAGCATAACTTCAACTACGTGAGTTAAGTCTTTAAAGTATGTTAAGAGACGTAAACCTGAGCATAAATTGCTTGAGTGTTTCTTACAGAGTCAATTAATATAAAAGTCCCACAGGGATCGGTTTCTGGACTGCTTCTATTTGTAATTCATAAAAACAATTTGATAATACATGAGTCCACATAACTGTGCGATTTTGTCGATGAAGCTTCCCTACAATATAAATTATGATTTCGTCTCCATCACACAACTTAACCTGTCAGATTAAAACAAGAAAACCGACAATTCCGAAGCAGAAGCGGATGATTAAAACGCACCCATTAAAAATATTGCGCCAAGATGTAGGCAACACGTAATAAGGGTTTAAAATGGCGGAGTTTTCTATCTCCTTTTAAAAGGCACTCAGAAAGCTGCGCAGTGCGACCATTCTCCGTATAGTAAAAGAAAATCAGATGCGGATGATTAAAACGCCCCTGATATTTTGCTTGCTGCTGTCAGTGTCAGTGAATATTATTTTTGGAGTCACAGTTTATTGCTAAAGAATCAGTTAGCTCACTCGGACCAGTTGAAAGTTCCAAAATAACATCCACTCCAGGGATACAAATTTAGGATACGCAGAAGACTGCTGTTTTATTATAGGCGGTTGTCATATATTGTATTATCTGAGTTGCGCAGTGTATAAACTGGAACATTGAGATAAAAACTACCGACGCAGAGTGAGCGATCTGATTCTTTAGCTATAGACTGTGTCATAGGGTTCAAAATGGCCGCGCCTTATGTTGGGCGTATCGGACCTCTCTCTTGCCCCGTATAGTAATCAAAGTATGTGACCTTAGACGTTTATGAGATACCCAAAAATGTACATAATTATATAGATTGCTCACCTATCTATAAAAAAGATTACGAAAAGTGGGTTGCAATGTGCACTGCCATATTGCATTTCCTAGTGCCGACTAAATAAAGCCGTTCTAGCCTAAATGTGTTTTAAAATAAAATTTCAGCATTTTAATCTGTAGAAAAAGAGAATTACTTACTTCAAGACTCGTTATTATGTATTTTGAAAGTTGGGTTTCCATCTAGTTAAAAAATATTAAGAGATCTAAACAATTTTTATAACAGAAGGATGTAAATAATTTTAGACCAATCTCATTTCAGAAATAATACTATATAAAACACATAATTGTAATATGAAATACAACTTTGAAAAGGTAATGTAAACAATTTTGATATGAGATATAAACAACTTTGGTAAGAGTTGCAATTGGACACTTATCTATTGCAGTTTGTTGCAATCTCTTTTGACAGTAATTGCAATGTATTAATTATGATTTGTTTATTGTAGTGAGAAATAAGAAATAGTTAATGAATTGTAAAGAGGGCCTTGATATTTTTGTCAAATTGGACATTCTAATTTCACAGTAACATTCTACATTAGTTTTAGTTAACAGAATAAACCATTATTTTCTGTAAAATTATATTTATATAAAATGTTCATTTAAATATGTAAAAATCTTAATGACAAAAAACCACTAAAGATTCTAATTTCTAAACCAGTTCTGTAAATGATTTGTTTACAACTAAGTGCTCAAAATTGATAAAAGATAGATAAAAAAAAATTTGCCCATTGAAATACGCTTTTTGTCGTTTGATTTACACATGGATAAGCAATCTATGTAATTATGTATATGATTGGGTGTGAG